GATTGCCACTAGAGGTCACTCTACCATTACATTGACTCTCACACTACACAGACTGTTACATGTCACTCCGGACTACAGTTCCCATCATCCATTGCACTTACACAGCTGAATTCACTGATCACACAGCCGTCACTATCACACGCTCACCTGAGAGCCATTACACACTCTATTTAACACTCTCTCAGTTCCTGTTCAGATTGCCGTGTATTGTTCTGCATTTTCCACTCCCCTAGTGTTAGCTGCCTTACCGAGCCATTCCGTGTTTTCTGTTTTAGTCTCGTGTATTGTTCTGCGTTTATCACTCATCTAGCGATAGCTGCATTACCGAGCCTAGTGTCTTGTTTTCCTTGTTTTCATCGTCTTGCCTTGTCTGTTTCCCCGTGTTCTGATCACTGCCTGTGGACCTGGATTATCCCTCGAGTCTCGCCCAATTGGATAATGTTCGCCCCTGCCTGGACCGTTGCCTTGTACCTGGATTATCCCTCTTGCCTTGCCATCAATATACCTGTTTGCCATTGTCTGACCTATGCCTGTTTTTGACCACGTCTCTTGTGAATAAAGCCTTGTAGATGGATCCGCACGCTTCCTGCATTCCCTCCGTTACAACTGTATTATTTCACCGTATTTAAGAAAACTAATAATAATTGTATTTTATAGTACAGCTGTAAAATTACAATACTAATATTTATGGCTGTCTTATTTTCTCCATTTTCAAATGTTTAACCGACTTTTATTTTGACTGTAATAACAAGAATAATATTAATAATTATAATCGTTATTTTTTATTATTTAAAATATTTATTTATTAAAGAAAACTTTTACAAACATCATAAACACTATGATCTTGTGTTTAATTATTCTAAAATATAATTATTAAAATATAACTATTTATTATTATTATTTATTTGTTAATTAATTAACAAAATAATTATTACTAGTGTATTATTTCACTGTATTTAAGAAAAACAATCATTTTATTTTATAGTACAACTGTAATATTACAATAGCTGTCATAATTTCTTCATTTTCAAATGTTAAAGAGCCGGTTTATGAGTGATTCTCATTACAAGCGACCCAAACTTGGATACAGAGACGATTATTTTGATTAATTGTGCAGCCCTATAAACAGCACACACATTTTCTGCAGAATGTACAAATGCTGTTCTTTCATTATTTGAATCTAAAACCAAACTCACACTTCGAGTGTCTTTTCTCTTGTCTCCTCTCAGGAACATTGCGCGTGTGGTCAGTCAGGTCCACGCCTTTCAGGAGCGTCTCTATTCCTACCCTCCCGACCTTGAGCTGCAGTTGTACCTGCGTGGGAGAATCGCACGCTTCGGCAGGTGTGACATCCCGCTCCTCGCCTCCGACAACCACATCAACTTCAGCCAGACCCCCGCCGCTCGCCGGATCCACGACACGCTGCGCCGCGTCAAAGCGTCTTTCCAGTGACCGGCACAGATGTGCAACGAGCCAGAACTATGGTGACCAAGAGAGCTCAGTGCGCTGCAACTAAAGAAAACACATGCAAATGGGAAAAAACACCTGCAAATTAAGAAAACATCTTCATCTCTTTGACAGCACATGTGCTGCAAGTACACACAACACAACCAAATACAGAAACGCGCTGCAAATACTCACAACATAAACAAATACAAACATGCTGCAAAAACAGAAACACACTGCAAATACTCGCAACACAAACAAATACAAACGCTGCAAAAACAGAAACACACTGCAAATACTCGCAACACAAACAAATACAAACGCTGCAAAAACAGAAACACACTGCAAATACTCGCAACACAAACAAATACAAACGCTGCAAAAACAGAAACACACTGCAAATACTCGCAACACAAACAAATACAAACGCTGCAAAAACAGAAACACACTGCAAATACTCGCAACACAAACAAATACAAACGCTGCAAAAACAGAAACACACTGCAAATACTCGCAACACAAACAAATACAAACGCTGCAAAAACAGAAACACACTGCAAATACTCGCAACACAAACAAATACAAACACGCTGCAAAAACAAAAAACACTGCAAATACTCACAACATAAACAAATACAAACACGTTGCAAAAACAGAAACACACTGCAAATACTCAGAACACAAACAAATACAAACACGCTGCAAAAACAAAAAACACTGCAAATACTCACAACGCAAACAAATACAAACATGCTGCATAAACAGAAACACACTGCAAATACTAGCAACACTTTATTATAATTACCAGAAAGTGCAATCAAAAATACAAACGCAAACAAAAATATAACGTAGAAATAGGCAGAAAACGAAATATTCCTTCCTAGCAGCAAGTAATAATTCCAACAGCAGATCTATAAACAAGTATTATGCAGGACACTCACGTGCAGCCGTCTGTCTCTTCTGTTGACTAATCGCTTGACACACTGCAAATACTCGCAACACAAACAAATACAAACACGTTGCAAAAACAGAAACACACTTCAAATACTCAACACAAACAAGTACAAACGCTGCAAAAACAGAAACACACTGCAAATACTCACAACATGAACAAATACAAACACGCTGCAAAAACAAAAAACACACTGCAAATACTCACAACGCAAACAAATACAAACATGCTGCAAAAACAGAAACACACTGCAAATACTCACAACGCAAACAAATACAAACATGCTGCAAAAACAGAAACGCATCACAAATACTCACAGCACAAGCAAATACAAACACGCTGCAAAAACAGAAACGCAACACAAATACTCACAGCACAAGCAAATACAAACACGCTGCAAAAACAGAAACACACTGCAAATACTCACAACACAAAGAAATACAAACATGCTGCAAAAACAGAAACACACTGCAAATACCACAAAAACGAATACAAACATGCTGCAAAAACAGAAACACACTGCAAATACTCACAACACAAACAAATACAAACACGCTGCAAAAACAGAAACACACTGCAAATACTCACAACACAAACAAATACAAACACACTGCAAAAACAGAAACACACTGCAAATACTCACAACACAAACAAATACAAATACGCTGCAAACACCTCCAAATTAAGAAAACATCTTCATCTCTTTGACAGCACATGTGCTGCAAGTACACACAACACAACCAAATACAGAAACGCGCTGCAAATACTCACAACACAAACAAATACAAACACGCTGCAAAAACAGAAACACACTGCAAATACTCACAACACAAACAAATACAAACGCTGTACAAACAGAAACACACTGCAAATACTCACAACGCAAACAAATACAAACGCTGCAAAAACAGAAACACTGCAAATACTCACAATGCAAACAAATAAAAACGCTGCAAAAACAGAAACACACTGCAAATACTCACAACACAAACAAATACAAAGACGCTGCAAAAACAGACACACACCGCAAATACTCGCAACACAAACAAGTACAAACGCTGCAAAAACAGAAACACAATGCAAATACTCACAAAGCAAACAAATACAAACACGCTGCAAAAACAGAAACACACTGCAAATACTAACAACACAAACAAATAGAAACACACTACAAATACTCACAACACAAACAAATACAAACGCTGCAAAAACAGAAACACACTGCAAATACTCGCAACACAAACAAATACAAACACTCTGCAAAAACAGAAACACACTGCAAATACTCACAACACAAACAAATACAAACATGCTGTAAAAACAAAAACGCACCACAAATACTCACAACACAAACAAATACAAACACGCTGCAAAAACAGAAACACACTGCAAATACTAACAACACAAACAAATAGAAACACACTGCAAATACTCACAACACAAACAAATACAAACTGTTTGAGATCGAAAAGCTTGAAATAATGCATTATTAACTCCTCCAGATAATAGAGAAAATATACTTTTAATAATAGAGTAAATGCGGTAGACTATATTTCTACACCGAATCTTAAATAATTGACATACTGTACTTTTGCATACATTTAAATATTGAACTCGTTGCATTTCTCCATTTTGTGGTGCACTTTAAATTTTGACACTTTTATTTAACTGTTTTAAAGTTCAGCTACGCATATTTTGCATTAGAATTAAATTAAACTCAATGGTCACACTGTAGAAACTGAAAATGTTCTCAGATGCATTGTCAATAAGATTCTTCTTAACATAAAGGGATAGTTCACCCAAAAACAAGTTGTTCCAAACCTGTGAGTTTGTTTCTTGTGTTGAACACAAAAGAAGATATCTTGAAGAATGTTGGTTACCAAACAGCTGCTGGTCCCCATTGATTTCCATAGTATGGAAAACACTATGAAAGTCAGTGGGGACCAGAAAGTGTTTGTTTACCCAACATTCTTCAAGATATCTTCTTTTGTGTTCAACACAAGAAAGAAATTCAGGTTTGGTTTTCAGGTTGCAGTATATAAATAATACTCCAGACTTGAATGGAACCAATTAATTTACATGTTTTACACTGCAGTATTACGAACGTATTAAGTTATATAGGTGTTAATAGCCCATTAATCAGGTTGAGAGCTAATAAATTGCATCGTATTGAATGAAAACTTCTCATTTTGATGCAGTGTTTTTCAGGAATGCAGAATACGTTTCCAGACATTCACCATCTTCACCTTTGACCTGTGATGGACTAACTACCATCATTTTATGACATTTTATGTTTTAGCCTTTGAATCTGATGGCTCCTCAGCTTCTGTGATGATAGTAAAGCCTCCACAAGACAGCATCTCAGAGAAAGCAGTAGTTCATCTGGGTATTGTTCAGTTACTACACACAGTTAAAAGTTTGGAATAATTATGATTTTTTTAAATGTTTTGATGAGTCTCTTCTGCTCGCCAAAGCTGCATTTATTTGATCAAACATACAGTAAAAAAAAACCCCGTATATTATTACAGTTTAAAATAACTGTTTTCTATGTGAATATCTGTTAAAATTTAATTTATTTCTGTGATCAAAGCTGAACTGATATTTTCAGGATTCACAGATGAACAGCATTTATTTGAAATATAATTTTTTTTGTTAAATTATAAATGTCTTTACTGTCACTTTTGATCAATTGAAAGCGTCCCTGATGAATACAATTTTTTTTTAGAATTTTTTACTTAAGTCTTACCCCAAACTTTTGAATGATAATGTATCAAGGATTCCACAAAAATATTGTGCAGCACGACTGTTTTCAGCATTGATAATAATCAGAAATGTTTCTCGAGCAGCATATTAGAATGATTTCTGAAGATCATGTGACACCATTTTCCTGTAAATACTGTGAAAGCGCAAGATGTGGGAGTTTGAATTGGTGATTTTCCTCATTTTAGGATGTGGAGGTGTTTTCTCATTTTTACTCTTAAGTGTGGTGAGCTTCTTCAAGCAGCCTTAGCCAGTTTCGGTTTGATGGATGGCTTTCTTCAAAGAACAAAGACTTTTATATGTGTTTAAGTTTTTGACAGCTACACAACCAAATAATGCAGTCTGTAAATGTATAGATTCATTTGAGAAAATAATTAATTATATTAATGCATTTTAGATAAGATTCAGCTGTTTGAGATCGAAAAGCTTGAAATAATGCATTATTAACTCCTCCAGATAATAGAGAAAATATACTTTTAATAATAGAGTAAATGCGGTAGACTATATTTCTACACCGAATCTTAAATAATTGACATACTGTACTTTTGCATACATTTAAATATTGAACTCGTTGCATTTCTCCATTTTGTGGTGCACTTTAAATTTTGACACTTTTATTTAACTGTTTTAAAGTTCAGCTACGCATATTTTGCATTAGAATTAAATTAAACTCAATGGTCACACTGTAGAAACTGAAAATGTTCTCAGATGCATTGTCAATAAGATTCTTCTTAACATAAAGGGATAGTTCACCCAAAAACAAGTTGTTCCAAACCTGTGAGTTTGTTTCTTGTGTTGAACACAAAAGAAGATATCTTGAAGAATGTTGGTTACCAAACAGCTGCTGGTCCCCATTGATTTCCATAGTATGGAAAACACTATGAAAGTCAGTGGGGACCAGAAAGTGTTTGTTTACCCAACATTCTTCAAGATATCTTCTGTTGTGTTCAACACAAGAAAGAAATTCAGGTTTGGTTTTCAGGTTGCAGTATATAAATAATACTCCAGACTTGAATGGAACCAATTAATTTACATGTTTTACACTGCAGTATTACGAACGTATTAAGTTATATAGGTGTTAATAGCCCATTAATCAGGTTGAGAGCTAATAAATTGCATCGTATTGAATGAAAACTTCTCATTTTGATGCAGTGTTTTTCAGGAATGCAGAATACGTTTCCAGACATTCACCATCTTCACCTTTGACCTGTGATGGACTAACTACCATCATTTTATGACATTTTATGTTTTAGCCTTTGAATCTGATGGCTCCTCAGCTTCTGTGATGATAGTAAAGCCTCCACAAGACAGCATCTCAGAGAAAGCAGTAGTTCATCTGGGTATTGTTCAGTTACTACACACAGTTAAAAGTTTGGAATAATTATGATTTTTTAAAATGTTTTGATGAGTCTCTTCTGCTCGCCAAAGCTGCATTTATTTGATCAAACATACAGTAAAAAAAAAACCCGTATATTATTACAGTTTAAAATAACTGTTTTCTATGTGAATATCTGTTAAAATTTAATTTATTTCTGTGATCAAAGCTGAACTGATATTTTCAGGATTCACAGATGAACAGCATTTATTTGAAATATAATTTTTTTTGTTAAATTATAAATGTCTTTACTGTCACTTTTGATCAATTGAAAGCGTCCCTGATGAATACAATTTTTTTTTAGAATTTTTTACTTAAGTCTTACCCCAAACTTTTGAATGATAATGTATCAAGGATTCCACAAAAATATTGTGCAGCACGACTGTTTTCAGCATTGATAATAATCAGAAATGTTTCTCGAGCAGCATATTAGAATGATTTCTGAAGATCATGTGACACTGAAGACTGGCGTAATGATGCTGAAAATTCAGCTGCGCATCACAGAAATAAATTACAGTTTAACAGATATTCACATAGAAAACAGCTATTTAAATTGTAATAATATTTCACTATTTTACTGTATTTTTTAATCAATTAAATGCAGCCTTGGTGAACAGAATTACTTTTTCAAAAACATTAAAAAAATGCATATTATTCCAAACTTTTGTCCTGTAGTGTACTGGACGTTCATAGAATTGTGCAAAAACATGTGTGCATCATTAAACAGCAAACAAAATATCGGTGCTTCTGACATGTATACAACCAAACATTTTATACAACAAAAAGTATCGCACTCATAACCGTCTGTTATTATCTTATTCACCAACACAGCAGCATGGTGATTTTTGCTTTAAAAGTTTTCTTTAAAACCATCAGTGTGTTCGCTGATCTGATGACTGTCAATTAAATAAGCTGAATTTGCATTAAGATCCACACACTGCTCGCTGTTCTTGGATGCCATCATATCATACCACATTCGAATTAAATAATGCGCGTTTGAGCTCCGCGTTTGTTTCGGAGTCTCACGCGGAGGAGAGGAAGCGCAGCGGATCCTTCTCATTGTTCCCCGGCGGATCAAAGCGCTTCGGATAAAGGCTTTAATTGCGACTCAAAGAGCTCGAGCTCCTGCACTATATAGATCACTGATAAAGGAAACAGTCAACATGCCGTTATCATCATTGTCCAGCTAAACGATCCTTTCCAAGGCTCTGTCTCTCATCCACAGGCATTCAAATACAGTCTGATAACACCAAATCCCTGATTAACTGCAGACCTCTGTGCCAAAGCCCCCTGACGTGCCATTATTTCGGATTTATCAGTATTATTATTGAATCACGGGCTTTGTTTCATCACGAAACCTCAAATAAACACGCAATTACATAAAGACTTTTGAATTGAGTCGTTATATTTCCCTCCAACACCTTTTGGCATGTAATATTTTTTATTTATTAAAAAATTGCCAAACCATCTTATGCACTTAATTTATTTTTTTAAGTGAAGACTAGCTATTTAAACGTATTGATCTCTAGATTCAGCTTTACTGGTTTGGTTAAATTCAGCTTTACAATGTTTTAGCATGAGTGACATTAAATATGCATAACCCTACCCTTGTGCATATGCAGAATTACAATTTTATATAAAGCAAATCAGTGCAAGTAAACTTTGCACAGGTTTAGGTTGGTGCAGTGAAATGTTTTCACGGTCTCTAGTAGTTGTGTTGAATCAGTGGATCAGGCTTTAGCTTGTCCGGGTGTGAATTAGCATTTGAACTGCTGGTCAATCAAAGTTAATTGTGTTGCTACTGTAATCCCTTTGATCGTGATGTTTGCTGACCGCGCCAAACGCTGCTGTGATGGACGGTGGCGCCAGAGACTCCACAGGCAGCAGCATGTGTTAATACACCACCATTTGAACTACAGTCGAATCACCTTAGTGTGTGTGTGTGTGCGTGAGAGTGTGTGTGTGTGTGTGTGTGTGTGGAGACACTGCAGTACAGCAAAACAGACTTGTTAAAAAAAATCACGAGGAAGCGACAACAAATATATATATTTTTTTCTGATCGCTGAAAACCAAAAGAAAAAAAAAGAGGCTGATATATAATCAAAGTTAGTCAAATTTGGGAGCAGATATGTTGGTGTGTTGTAGAATTTTGTTTTTTTCTGTTTTTATAAGGTTCTGACCGTGTAACTTTCTAAAAGTAACGTTGTTTTACATAATTTGATGAATGAAGTGTTTATATTTTATAAAATACATTAAAATGTAAATACAAAAGTCTGAAGGTAAAATAAGTCAGATACAAGGATTTATTAGTGGGATATGGTAAAAATTGGTTAAATTAAAAATTGTAAAAGTTTTACTAAAGTTATGTTGCGACATATTACAATGTCTGTTTTCTATGTTAACATATTGTACGATTTTCAGCATCATTACTCCAGTCTTCAGTGTCGCATGATCTTCAGAAATCATTTTTAATATGCTGATTTGCTGCTCAAGAAACACTTCTGATTATTAACAATTTTGGAAACAGTTATGCTGCCCAATGTTTTTGTGGAAACCGTGATATACAAGCAATCGACGCATATTTCGCATGATATATAGGAGTCAAATACAATGATTTATTATCAGAATTATGTTGACAATTGGTGTAAAATATTGTAAAAGTTTTACTAATCGTTTAAGGTTGTTGTTGTTAAGTTTCTTGGCTTTAAGCTTTAAATTCCCAATATTAACGCTGCAGTTTTCGCCATAAATGCGCCACTCGGATCCAGTTGTTCTGATACTCCATCTATGCAGACAGCTGGATGAGCCAGAGGCTCTCACAGACAAGCTGGCGCCAGGCTTTCACACAATCACAGGATATGTAAAGACTTCAATAACGACCCATTAGGCCTAATGATTGAGAATCGACCAGGCGTTAACTCCTCCATGCATATGTTAATGTGATGCGGGACGGACCTATATATATATTCAGGCCGCTTCTGGAGGCCTGGCAAACAGTCTTGGATTGTACTCGGATACATTCACTTCCTCAGACACACAGACAGCAATCATGGTGAAGAAGTTTTCTGTGGACTGGCTCGCACAAAGCTTTCACGGTTCGCCGCCTCAAGATGTTCTGGAGCCGGAGAAAGAGACGCGCAGGCCACACGTGCCGTGCGTGGTTCAACCGAGACCTCCAACATCACATGACAAGGTTTATTTGCAGCCAAAACCAAAGGTTAACACAGCTGAACAGAAACCAGAGACCGTTAAAGAGGAGGTCACAACTCCGGCTACGCAAAGAAGCTGCTCATCTCCAAGCTGTAAGTAGCCTATACGCGCTTCGATGCATTTATGGTTTTTATTCATGTGAATGACAATAGAGCGTGTTTTAATGCTATATTACATGTTCAGTTTCAGAAAACAGCGGCTATTCGTCTGGTTATGAGAGCGAAGCGGCCGCGTCTGAATGCGCTTCCATCGAAGACGCGGCGACGCGAAGAATCAGAACCAAATTCACTCCGGAGCAGATCGACAAACTGGAGAAAATCTTCAGCAAGCACAAATACTTGGAGGCGGGAGAGAGAGTGAAAACAGCTTTGAAACTCAACCTGTCCGAAACTCAGGTGAGACGCGCGCAGGCTACTCTCTTCACTCGAGGACTGTATTTACATCTAGCGAATTATTTTCTCGAAATACATTGAGAATAAAAGGCCTCCTCTTATACACCGAAAAGACTAGACAGTTTCACAAAATGTCAAGGAATTGGCAAATAACACTTGAATGAAAGCGTATTTTCTTGTAAAACATAGGCATCGCCATTAATCGCGTTTGAAATGATTCGAAAAGTAACGTCTCGAAAAAAAAAAAAAATAGAATGCATCTTAAATGTATCTTTTTGTTCTCCAGGTCAGAACAAATGTAACGTTTTGAAAAATCGAACGCATTTGAAATGTATCTTTTTGTTGTCCAGGTCAGAACTTGGTTCCAGAACCGCAGGATGAAGCTGAAGCGGGAAGTGCAGGAGATGCGCGCTGACTATCTGCTGCCTAAGATGGTTCTTCCGCACGTGCTTCCGGTTCAGTACCACTGCTACGACAGACAGCGACTTCCGTTTCCGCCTCACGGCGCGCTGATGCAGCAGATGATGCCGCTGGCTCCTCATCACCAGCTCATCTGTCTTCAGCAGCATTACTACTGAAGACAGACGCATCCAGAGACTCGTTCCTTTAAATCACATTCTGTGTGCAATATCTGTACAGTTATGCTTTTGGTAAAAAAAAAAAAAAAAAGGGGGTTTAATTAAAAAGAAGAGTTTATTTATTATCAGAAATAAAGTATTTGTTACGCCTAAGTTTGCGTTACTGGTGATTTGTCCGTGTTCAAGTTGAACTTTACAGGCTTAGAGTTCACATTTGATAAGACTGGCTTCAGAAGTGAATCGATCTGAAATATGTGTTGTTCAAATGCTTTTAAGTTAAGTTAACAGATGCTGTGACATGCACTCAACTCAAGAGTGACTCTATTTAGACTTTATTCAGGAATTCAGTGTTTTCTTGGATCATTTCACATACTTGATATAAGTTAAAGTAAATGATTGATCATCTGCAATCAAATGCCATCAATAAAATGAAATTTCTCGGCCCATTTGTGATCTGACAATTATGTATTTGTACATTTTTTTATCTCGGGTCAGCAAAGACAGATTAATTTATTAATTTCCTATAATGCAACATCAACATAGAAATATATAAATATTTTTATTTATTCATTTATGCTGCATTTTAGGTTTCTGGATTAATTAAATCGTCAGTAAATGAATGCATTTTATTTATGTACTTATTTCCTCACAGTAATACATTGATTTCTCATGGCTGTTTTGTTTAGACCCACAATGTAAAGAAACATCTTCTTCATTTAAGTCCCACCCCAACTCTATTTTTAAACCCAGTTCAGATTTGAAATCGAGTGAAAAGCAATAGATTGTTATTAGTGACCATACATGGTGCCATTTATATGCATGAAAAGCGTTTAAAAGCATAGCATAAATACAGGCTCACATTATTACCAAATAGAATGTACACCCTGAAGCTAGTTAAATATGAGTTAGAGCTGTCCCACACAGAAAAATATAATGCAACATCAACACTTTTTATACCCAAAGAACAATATGCATGCTTCTTTTTAAAAGTGGTTATTTTTCATTAAGCATTTAAGATGCCATTTGTGCACACGTGGAGAAGGAGGTTGGCATACAGACCTACAATAATACGATGAGATGTATTTAAATCAAATGTAGGCGCCGAAGAAACCCTAAACAAACCCGGCAGTGCATTGATCCGCTGCGCCACGGTTTCACAATGCGCTTTCATATGCGCGCAACTCCGCGCACTTCAAACGAGACCTAACGAGCAGATCGTGGTCAACAATTAGTCCTAATTAAGTCGCCCATTGATGAGTTTACACTCTCCACATAATCCCAACAGACTGGCTCCAGCATGTCTGGGTTGTGTGTGTGTGTGTGAGTGAGTGAGTGAGTGTGTGTATGTGTGAGTGTGTGTGTGTGTGTGTGTGTGAGTGAGTGTGAGTGTGTGTGTGTGTGTGGGTGTGTGT